AACAACAGTTATAATAAACAGAACAACAGTTATAATAAATACATATAACAACAGTTATAATAAATACATATAACAACAGTTATAATAAACAGAACAACAGTTATAATAAACAGAACAACAGTTATAATAAACAGAACAACAGTTATAATAAATACATAGAACAACAGTTATAATAAACAGAACAACAGTTATAATAAACAGAACAACAGTTATAATAAACAGAACAACAGTTATAATAAACAGAACAACAGTTATAATAAATTAAAGTTACAATAGATATAACAATAGTTATAATAAATATATAAGGTATAACAACAGTTATAATAAATAGAATAGTTATAATAAATATAATGGTTATAATAAATATAACAACAGTTATAATAAAAAGTCAAATTCTATCATTTTAAAGCCACTGTACTATAATTCATTATTTTTATCTGGCAACCCGACTGACATGGAACCTGGTGGTCTCGTTGACGTTCTCTGTTGCACTTTGGACATCATAATCAAAGATTACTGAAAAAAAATGTAAGTGATCAAAGTATTTTACATTTAAAATAACATCTTGGGGGCCGGATAGGATGTTAAGGAGGGCCACATTTGGCCCCCGGTCATTGAGTTTGACACATATGTCCTAAAGGGTTAACATGCTGCTGACACACCTCTTGCACACAATAAGATTAAGAACCTGAGGGAATGCTAAGGTGCGGCTCAAAGACATTTACCTCCCAGTACGTCGAACAGCACTGGGCTCAGTCATCGTCGTCATCATCTTCAGGTACAAAGATGTCGTGCTCCTCCAGGAGAGCTGCAAAGTTCTTGCTGACCAGAGTTCCCACGTAAAGGAAAGGCACGACCACCGCCGTCATCCAGACAAGACCGAACGGCGTCTGGAGAAACACAGAGAAACGTTCTGGTTACTCCGTAGAGCCCACTGGGTGGACTGGTTTACATTGGGTCTGCAAATATATAAAAATGATGCATGAGACTCTTCCCTAAGATTTAAACTACATCATTTTAATACCTCCATATAAAATAACACCTTCAAAACATTGTAAAGAGAGTTTGAGCTAATTTTCAAGTAATAATTATAAATACCTGCTGTTAAAGCACAGTCTCTCCACGTGACAAATAAAAACCATAATAGTGTAATTTTACAGCAGACAGATATTATTTACCACAAGAACAAAGCAGACAAGTTATGTACAGAGCTGCAATCATGTGCAGACAACAAAAAACCGTGGCATCAAAGCACAATACACTAAACATGGGTTTAATAATGCATTGCATATCTGTCAATATGGGTTTATTTATGCATTGCATATC